TTTTCATTAGAAATATCTCATGTATACATGGCTTAATTTCTAATTAAAATAAATTTAGAAATTAAAATAAATTTTAAATTTATTTTATTCCAAAAGTCCAATTTGCCATTAATGAGTCTTAATAAATACCCCATGCCATCCTTTTTATCTCTATTTTAATAACATTAAATAAATATAAAAATCTCATTTACTAATTTCTATCTTTTCCCTTTCAGTTTTTCATATATTCAATTTAGTCAATAAAATTCACTATTTCACTTTAACATGAAAAATCCACTTAATTCCATTTTTCCTTGTTAGATTCTACTGATTAAAAATATAATTATAATATTTCTAGTCAACACTATGATCCTTCGAATTTTTTTAAACTTTCGATTCAATCTTATTATCCAAATACTTTACCGAATTTTATATCTTCATAGATTTTTACATAATCTCCTAACCAAAATCTAAATTTTATATAGAATCCATTCTTAAGGATGAACTATTCGTTTATGGAATAATTTTTTTTGAAAAAAATTATCACTTTAGTCATTAAATTTTTCACATATTTCTACTTTAAACACCAAACTTTCAAAAATTATATTTTAGTCACTAGTCAAATTTTAGGTTATTACATAAAGGGTCACATTAGGTTTGTTTTTTGAATCGGAAGGTCACATTGAGAAAAAAATAACACTTGGACTACATTGATTTTTTTTTATATACAGAGGCCTCTAATGTATTTTTTGATATTTCATACCCGTGTGAAAGATTTACATATATGCACTGTGAACTTTGTTACAAAGAATTCATATATTTAACTTCATAATAAATCTTAAAAAGATTAGAATTTTAATTCAATATATGCCATATCAGATTTTTGTTTGATATATTTATATATATATGTTATTTTTCTTATTTGTACACCTAAAACTTCAATAATCATCAAAATGTTTAACACTTTAAGGTGACGTTTGGTTCGCAGGAATCCATTGGAATTAGGGGAATTGGAATCCAATTCCACTACTTTCCCATGTTTGGTTCAAGTTTTCAAAGGGAATTGAAATCCATCATGACTTCAACTTTCTATCAAATGAGGGAAAGTGAATTTCATTCATTTTATGATGGAATTTGACCATACTACCCTCATCAATCTTTTGGTAACTTATTCATTTATTGAATAAAAATATTTTTTATTTCGGGTCGGGTTTCTAATTCATATATTCGGGTCGGGTCGGGTGAAACTTTATTTTGGTCGGGTCGGTCGATTTTTTTAAGTGTGATATTCGGGTCGAGTTCGGGTTTAAGGTGAAAAATAACCGACCCGACCTGACCCAAAAATATATATAATTTACCTTATATATTTGGGAATAATTACAATAATACCCCTCTATATATAATTTTTTTCAATTAAGTCACTATTTTTATTGAATAAAAATAATTTTTTTATTATTTCGGGTTGGGTCGAGTCGGGTTTCTAATTCATATATTCGGGTCGGGTCGGGGTTTTTTAAGTGTGATATTCGGGTCGGGTTCGGGTTTAGGGTGAAAAATACCCGACCCGACCCGACCCAAAAAATATATAATTTTACCTTATATATTTAGGAGTAATTACAATAATACCCCTCTCTATATAATTTTTTCAATTAAGTCACTGTTTTTATTGAATAAAAATAATTTTTTTATTATTTCGGGTCGGGTTTCTAAATCATATATTCGGGTCAGGTCGGGTGAAACTTTATTTTGGTCGGGTCGGGTCTCGGATGGAGGTTCCCTTGTTCTCGAGTCGGGTGGACCAAAAACCCAACCCGACCCATGGCCACCCCTAATTGGGATGATTTTAACTTATGATGTTTATTAGCATGATTTTTATAATTTATTGAAATGAATAATAAATCAATAAATTTAAAAACAAACTAAAATTAAGCAAAAAAAAAACAAGAAGGACAATCCTATCATTTTACATTACCGAAATCAAATTCATATGACATGTCTGCGAACCAAATAGAATATGGAATTGGATTCCAATTCAATTTCCTGCCAACCAAACAAAATATGGAATTGGATTCCAATTCCTGACAGATTTCAATTCCTTCGCAGTTTCCAATTCCCTCAGAAACATTATAGCGAACCAAACGCCACCTAAGTATATATTATTCATTTTGGTTAAATAGAGTAATTGTTTAGTTAGGTAAATGAAGAATTGGAGCAGAACTTTGTGATCTTCGAAGTGCTGAAGAGAAGTTTTTAAGGCAGAAATCTATGGCCCAAACCCAATTGATTCAAGAATAAGACCAGAATACTGATTTCTTGCATTAATGCTCTTTTCTTCCTATTGAGGCCGAAAGTCTCTCGATCTTCTATCCTTTCTGTTTTCAGGTTGAAAGAGACTTCCATGGGCGAAGTAGAGAAATTTGGCCTCTAACGCTGAACATTTACATTAAAAGTCTCATAAAAGTTATGCCAGCAGGAGAAAGGGGAACCAAAACCAACAAATGCCTTTAGAAGAGTTCGACCAACGGGAGATAAACGGTGAAACGAGAGCTTTTTCTTTTCTTTTTTGAAGCATTCCAATTCAAGTAACGCAAAATTTATGCATGACCCCCTGGATTCTTTGTTGTCTTCTTCTTACAAAATTCAAATAATAATACAAGTATTCCTACCAAAAGTCACCAAAACTAAAGAAAAATTTGACTAATTGGGCGAACAAAGCGCAGATTGTCTCCCTCACAGGTGGGCGGAAGGAGTGAATTTATTTTCAATGGTCTAATAATATCAGAGCATGCATAAGACAACATTTAATGGGAGCTAGTTTTCAACGCTTTACATGTTGGTGCCTGAAAAGACATCTTCTCTTTCCCAATCCCTTGTCGTCGTTTTCTTCCTCATCCACTTATAGAAAATGACGGAAATCTTTAATCTTACATTCCTTAAAATATATTACTCCAAACTTTTTTGTCTGTTGTGTATAGATATAATTTGAAAGAAATCTTGTGCAAGTCCTTAACTCATCTCAAAAGAGAAGCTAAATCACATTTGTTCAATTATTTTTTTCATACAAATATAGCTTCATTGACATAAACATGCAGCTTGCCCTCTATAGGAATGGTGTATGAAACCAGCTGCGCAACTTCGATGTATATGTTTGAATGTACATGCATTATACATGCAAAACATCGTAAAAATATAAGTTTATGCATACATAGTGCATACATCATCCATAAGTCTACATGTGCAAATTATTGGCCAAAAAAAATTGAAGTGTAAACATGTCGACCAAATGCTTCACTTGCCAAGTCATTCACGGGTTTCTTGAAAAAGAAAAAAAAACATAAGAAAAAGAGGGGGGGGGGAGCCAAATTCCAAGTTGCAATAATTAAATCCCTGTTCGCCTACGAAGTGAAGAGAACTGTTCATCTCATAATTGGAAAAATATGGCAAAAATTTGACAACGCGTTCATCGTGCTATCTAAAATTTTCCACCGTTGAACCACTTATTGGGGCGGTGTCGGAGGTCGGCTTCTCATTTCTTCAATCATTCAAATCAACCATCGAATCCTTTGCTGATATCTTTGATAAACTTGGAAATTTTATCAACTTTTGCAGCATAAATTTCATCAATATGATCATTCATGCCGTAACACGTTTGAATCAGTGTTTCCACGTGAGAAAAATTGAAGCTTGCAAGAGAGACTTCCATGGCATTCATTAATGAATGGAGTTCAAGTTTTTCAAAGGGTTTGCAGGCAAAGTAAATGCAGTAAGAGGAATAGCTGGGTCGGCTTTGCTTTGTTTTAAAGTCAATCTTGGAATTTGGAATTCTCTTCGATTACGTTATAACAGTGAAGTACACAATCGTTCCATGTTTGTTAATAACTGTAAATTTTCAATTTGGTAGATGTAACTTTCTGGTTTCAGACTTGTATGTTAGAGGAGTGACAATATGACTCGGACATTTACATTATAACAGTGAACTTTCAGGTTTCACTGGAGACGGTGAAGTAAAGACGGCTCATGGTCAGTCACTGCTTTAGTTCAATAATCCAGTTTTCTTTTCTCCTCCTCGAAATCCCCACTTTAACTTGAACATTTCACAAGACGGATTTAAGAATTTACATGTATCAACCGATTTCAAACAGAAATCCCATTATTATTTTTCCGTAGAAAACATTTACATATTTATCATATGGATTCTCAAAAGTTCGGGTATATTGTAATTTTGTAGAAAGTGGACGAGCTGTAATGGCAGCATCAGCTCATATTTTTCCACATGAAACTTTCTGGTAGGTAAGATGTTGACACGAAATATATGCTATGGAAGATGACAGTCAACAATTGATACGCATGCGACCAATTCGTCAAGGCTTTTTACTTCTTTCTTATGTCGAGACATATTGGTTAAGATGTTTCCTCAACAGAATATCATAGCAAAAATGTCGCCCCTTTTTAATATCCATCAATAGATAAAAAATTAAATTTTAAATTAATACACACCCATCCCCAAATTAAGATCCGCCACTAGATTTTGTACAATATATGTTTTTTATTTGTTAATGAAAGTGGGTAATTAGTACAATGAAATTTGATAATGTCAACAACAGGAATAAGTGTCTTCCACTGATAACTTAAATGGAGCCCAATGCTTGATCTTCAGGTCAATCACTCTCTGATTTAACACGAGCTTGCTTGGATGTTCTCTTTCAACTTAATATTATATTATGAGTTTAGACTAGTGATTTGAAATAAGATCAATGGAAATAATTAAATTAAAGGGCTATGTTCAGAATATAAAACTCAAAATTCCATTCTATTCAATTTAATTTAATCATTATTTTCAAATATAAACCCCAACAACAACACACTCTCCGGCGGTCAAAAGAATCAGCACCGTAACATCTACAAACACAGACAACAAATAATTCATCTTCCTCTATAAATTCCCCATTCTATCTTCCCTTTTCCTTCAATTCCTCAATAGAATTCTTTAAACCCCATACTACAAACACGAAACCTTCATTCAAAAACCCAGGAAACCTATACAGATGTTGTCTAGTAAAGCTAGCTGCAATTCTCATGGACAAGATTCTTCGTACTTTCATGGGTGGCAAGTTTATGAGAAAAACCCATTTGATGAAGTTGAAAATCCAACGGGGATCATTCAGATGGGGCTTGCGGAGAATCAGGTGAGCTGTAACTTTGATTGATACATGCCAAACTTAACCCACATTTCTTTTAACTTTTGCATTCCAACCTTTTAGTTTAGTTCAAGATTCTTACTTACACTTAAATTAGTTGAAACGTACTTTTTGCAAGACAAGTTTTTCTTTTCCACACATAAAATCATTGTAAATTTGAAGTTTGTACTGTTAACTGAACTTATAGTACCTTCACCTTTTTATGCAAATTTAAAAGGAAAATGGAGGATAATATCTATAAACTATATGGAAACGTGTATTTTCTTACCAGCTTTCTTTTACTTTTGCAAGACAAGTTTTTCTTTTCCACACATAAAATCATTGTAAATTTGAAGTTTGTACTGTTAACTGAACTTATAGTACCTTCACCTTTTTATGCAAATTTAAAAGGAAAATGGAGGATAATATCTATAAACTATATGGAAACGTGTATTTTCTTACCAGCTTTCTTTCGACCTCGTGGAATCATGGCTACGAAAAAACCCTAACGCCGTGGGGATGAAGAATAAGGATGGAGAATCTGTGCTGAGGGACCTTGCTCTCTTCCAAGACTATCATGGAATGCCTGCTTTCAAAAATGTAAACATTCCTATCATTTTAATCTTTACCATAACCCCCCAAAACCCCTACATTTGAGTTACAAAATGATGTACAACGTGTATATATATGTATAAAATAGTGGCTTTACTTGTATAGGAACTGGCCGAATACATGGAAAAAATCAGAGGAAACAAGGTTAAATTTGATCCTAACAAGTTGGTGCTTGCTGCTGGTGCAACTTCAGCTAACGAGACTTTAATCTTTTGCCTTGCGGATCCTGGTGAAGCCATCCTTCTTCCCACACCATACTACCCTGGGTAAGTTGGAAATCATATAAGTTCAGAATCTCAATTCATAATGTAGTTGAAACAAATGGTGGACTCGATTGAATACTTAAAGCAAAATGGAGGACCAGAAAGGATAGCCTATGTATGAATTCTATTCAGTGTTTATATACTAATACTACTGATTAATTTACCCCTATATGCTTGGTTATAGGTTTGACAGGGATCTAAGATGGAGGACTGGGGTAAAGATTGTTCCAATACATTGCTCAAGCTCAAACGGATTCAGAATCTCCATGTTTGCACTTGAAGAAGCATATGAGAGAGCTCAAAAACTCAACCTCAAAGTTAAAGGCGTTTTAATAACGAATCCTTCGAATCCACTCGGCACAACAATGACTAAAGATGAACTTCAAAACCTCGTTACTTTCGCCATCGACAAAAACATTCATCTCATAAGCGACGAAGTCTTTTCAGGCACAGTGTTCGATTCTCCATGTTTCATTAGCATCATCGAAGCCGCATTAATGGACAACAAACTTAAAGACAACACCGATGTTTTGAGCCGCATTCACATCGTTTACAGTCTTTCCAAAGATCTGGGTTTACCCGGATTTCGTGTCGGCATGATTTATTCAAACAATCAAACCGTCGTGGCAGCCGCGACAAAGATGTCGAGTTTTGGACTCGTCTCGTCGCAAACTCAGTTCCTACTCTCCTGCATGCTGGCAAACAAGAAATTCACAAGCAAATACATGAAGCAGAATCAAAAGAGGCTAAAGAAAAGGAAAGAGATGCTGGTTTCAGGGCTTAAAAAATCGGGTATCAATTGCTTGAAAAGCAACGCGGGCTTGTTTTGCTGGGTTGATATGAGAAATCTGTTATCTTCCAACACATTCGAAGCCGAAACCGATCTCTGGAAAAATATGTTATGCGAAGTCCGGCTGAACATCTCGCCTGGTTCTTCATGCCATTGCAGTGAACCAGGGTGGTTCCGAGTTTGCTTTGCGAATATGAACCAATCGACTCTTCTAGTGGCCATGCGAAGAATCAATGATTTCGCTGAACGTTCGAGCTTTAATTACCAGCAAAATATGGGTGGGTTCAACCGGAGATTACCCAACAACTGGGTACGTAAACTATCATCAGCAGATCATCGTGAAGAACAAAAGCGTTACTAGGTGTTACGTTTTCTTATAATCTTGAGTTTGATTTGTTAAAATTTATTATATGCCCGCTAGTAATATAGTTTAAGTTCATCCCTTAGGATATATTATAGGGATGGTAGTATGACCCGAACTCGATGGGGAAACTCGAAACCCGGTCAAGTTCGGATCGAGTCGGATTGAATGATATTGGATCGGGTTTGGATTCGGGGATTTTTATATTTTTATATTAGTTATATATATAATATTTAATATTTTTTATATTAATCTCCAATGGGATACCCCGATAAAACATCCGTCGGAGATCGGGTCAAAATCGGAGACAGAGATTTATTTCGAGTTTGAGGACGGGACGAGCAAAACCCGCCCCGAACCTGATCAGTTGCCATTCCTAGGATATAACGCAACAACTCTTTTGGAGGGTTTCTAAGAAAAGGTTACAGATTTGTAAAAGGCGATTTATATATTTCCACGATTAAATCCTTTAGTGACTTCATTTTATTATTATATATCTCAAAATATAGTCACAAGTCAAGAATTTTGTCTAAAAGTTTAAAATGTAGTAAAAGTGGAGAGTCTAAAACTTTGTCTCATAGTTAGGGTCTATGATAAAATAATTACAATTTATGGATTATTTATATACTTTTTTAAAAATAATATATATTACGTCTCACAAGAAATATTCCTAAAGTATCACCTTGATTCTTTGCAATTAAAAAAATAGATTAATGTATATTGTATTTAAATATTTTAAGAATCAAACTGAATAAAAGAATTTTAAAAATCAAAGTGATAATAAAATATAACTTTAAAAATCATGGTAACAACTAGTAGAAGTTGGCAAAACTTGACTCGGTTAGAAAAATAGATTTTTTAGACTCGACTCGATTTGAAAAAAATTGATTCGAATTGATTTCGAATTATAATTTCATAAATTCGACTCAACTCAAAAAATTTAAGTTCAAATCGAGTTGTATTTTACAACTCGAATAACTTAAATAGTAACTTGAAACTTTTAAAAATTAATGGATTTATTTTAATATTTTTTATTTAATTATACATAAATTAAATTAACTTATATTTATATTTATAATATTGTTTATTTTTTTTAAATAAGGTGGGGCCTCGTTAAACCCCTCGTATCAATGTTAAATTGAGATTTTTTAAGGGTAAATTATACCTTTCTTCACTTAATTATATTCTCTCTCCTATTGTTCTCACTTAACTTTCAATTTTTTCATTTTACTCACTTAACTTTGTAAATTGAATCATTTTGCTCACTCGACCATTAACTATTTAACGGCTTTATGATGCGGCATAAACATCAAAACGATGTCATTTTGCTCACAGAGGTTTTGAATGGGATAGTGAATCTGGGGGAGAACGTAAAGGCTATGGAGGTGGACGAGGGTGAGAGGAATAACGATAAGAGCGTAGTAAACGTTAGAATGGTGGAGGAGGAGCTGAGCAGTGATGAAGGAGCTTGTGGGTCGGTTAGGAACCCAATTCTTATTCCTAAATCTGAAGTTGGGTGGAGAAGATGTTGTGCAGTAGGCAAGATTAAAAGTATGTATAATCTTGAATGCGTTCAGGAGGCGCTAATTGCAGAAAGTTTTGAAGCTAAAGTTAGTCAATGGCATGATCTTGTGGTGACCATTTAGTTCGCGTGTCCAGTTGAATTAGTTAAAGCTTGGCATTGCAGAGAGGCACTAACTCAAACCTGGTTTGAGGAATTAGAACTCTTAGAAGGTTTTGAGGGCAAAAGAAGAATCAAAATTTGGGTGCTCTTGCAAGACATCCCTCTCCAAGCTTGGAGCAAAAAGTTCTTTATTGAGCTTAGCAATAAATGAGGGTCTACTATTATGGTGGACAATGATACAGTCCTACGTAAACATTTTAATGAGGCAAGGGTTCTGGTTCATATCCAAAGAGTGTCCTTAATCCTAGATAGGGTGCTTATAGCAATGAATGGGTGGGTTACATCTATTAAGATCCGGGTAGAGAAGTTTGAAGAAGAACCAATTTTCATTGATGGAAAGAGGTCGGGAGAAGTGAAGGAGTTTGGGGACTATACATCTAACTTTGGTTGTCTTGAACGTTTCGAGGATATTTATGAATGAGCAATATTCGATGAAGATAACGAGCAACTTGTTTTAAATCTACATGCGAACCAAAATAGAATGATTGTCCCAGTCGAAAAAGATGGGTTGACAGGGGAAAATTCACAACATGGGGAGATGTGCAGACTCAATCTAGATGGTTTGCTGGATATCCCAATCACGACTGTTGGGGGGTTGAGCTTATTTGACGAGGGAGCAACTGAATGCCTATTAATAAATCCTTTAGGCGGATCGATGGGTTGAATGAGCGATTTCGACCCAAATAGACAAAACATGCTTAATGTTCTTGTGTTCATCGTAAAACCTTTTGGCGAGTTGCAGCTGGCGTCTAACATAAAAAAAAAAGAGCATAAAGTGGTGCCTAAAGGGAGAAAAAAGAAGATATTAGACAAGAGTGGGGGTAGGACAAAGAGTAAGGTAGCTGGTAAACCAAGTTTGTTAACGGAGAGGATGTAAATTCCAGATCAAGTGTCGAGCGACTCACGGGGAGATTTTATCCAAAAATGTGACGAAGAGGCACTTGAAGTGTATAAGGTCGAGGGGAAAATTGGTGTTGTTTTTTACGCCTAAGCGATAGATGTTGTGAATAGAATCAATGAGATCGAAGATGGGAGTGGGTGCTGAACGTGAAGGAGCATTTTTTTGTTTAGGTAATTGTGTGATAATAATTTTATTTTTATGTCTATTTTCGCGTTATCTTGGAACATAAGGGGACCGGGTAGGTCTGAAAAAGTTAGATCAGTATGTAAGACTATTACTGTGAGTAAAGCCAGAGTCATTTTTTTACAAGAAACCAAAATGGTAGTGGTAAAACCAGGGGTGATAAATCGTCTCCGAGTAGGTTCTTTGATCGACTATGAATATGCACCTTCGGTTGGAGCCTCGGGAGGATTAATTACACTTTGGTATTCAAGTTATTTTACAATCGAAAAGAAAGTGACGGGTAGAAGATACGTGGCGCTGGAAGGTTGCCTTACTCTGATAGACTTGAGAGTGATTATGATTAATGTGTATGCTCGAATGATTTTCATGAGTGAAGGGAATTTTTTAAATTTGAAGGTGGAGCTTATTACTGAATGGGGGTTGCCAGTAATCATTGGCGGTGATTTGAACTTGGTTAAAGTTGAAGAGAAGAAAACTATGGGCGTGTTCAATTGGGCATCAATACGGTGTTTGGCGGAGTTCATCCAGGGAGGGGATTTAGTATATATACCTTTAGAAGGGAGTGTATTCACTTGGTTCAGAGGAGGAGATTTAGCTTATGCTACTAGATTAGATCAGTTTCTTCTATCTTTGGAGTTATTGTAACGTTGCCCAGATGTAGTTCAATCTATATTGCCAAGAAGTTTGTCCGACCACAACCCCATGCTATTTAGAGAGAAAAAAACGGAGCTATGGACCGAGGCCGTGTAAATGGTTCTCACATTGGGCTGATGAGGAAGATTTCAAGGAATTAATTCATTCTGTTTGTGTGAAGTGCCAAAACCAAAATATTGGGGCAATTTTAAGGGAAATCAAATATTCGACTAAGATTTGGGTTAAGGACACCAAAGAGAATGATTCAGAGTTAATGGAGTCCATTGGGAGTAAGATAGAATTATTGGAAGCATCATTAATAACGGTCGGGTGTAATAGGGGGAAACTAGCAGAGATTCAAGCTTTGAGGAGCCGACTATGGGCTAAATTAAGAAGAGAGGAGAGGGAGTGGTTACAGAAGTCAAAACTCAAGTGGTTTTAGGAGGGTGATAGGAACACTCGGTTCTTTCATGTTACAGCTTCAACCAGAAGGGGGATAAACACCATATCCTCTATTCGGGTAGCTAACACAGTGGTGAAGGAGCCATATGAAATCTTTAGGGTGTTTGAAGAGCATTTTTGAAAGTGCTTCAATGAATCTAAAACCTTACCGATTAAGAAATAGGACTTCTGTTTTAGGAAAATTAGTAAAAATGCTTGTCGCGCCTTAGAGAAACCATTTTCTAAAGAAAAAGTTTGGGTTTCCATTTCTTCTGTGGATGGTTCGAGAGCACCTGGTCCTAACGGGTTCAACATAGATTTCTTTAAGAAATTCTGGGTAGTTTTAAAAATTGGCATTATGGAATTTTTTGACGCATTCTACAATGGAAAGTTGTTAGATAAATCATTCAACTATTCGTTCATAACTTTAATCCCTAATAATAGTACCCCTGAGCGTATTGAAGATTTAAGACCAATTTCTTTAGTGGGGGAGCATGTACAAGATTATAGCGCGAGTCTTATCCAAGAGGTTAGCTGGCTGTATTGATGAAGTGGTAGGGGAATCACATTTTGCGTTTATCGCGGGTAGACAAATCTCTGACTGTGCCTTGATAGCGAATGAGGTTTTAGATGATTTAAAGAAAAGGACGAGGAAAGTGGTGGTTCTGAAAGCAGATTTTAGTAAGGCATATGATTCCGTTGGTTGGAAGTTTTTAGAGTTTGTAATGACTTAAATGGGGTTCGACAGTAGATGGAGAAGATGGATTAGCTTGTGTATATCCACAACTTCTGTTTCAGTAATTGTGAATGCTTCCCCATCGAGAAATTTCAGAATCAAGAGGGTTTTGGCAAGGTTGTCCGTTATCTCCGCTACTATTTAATCTCATTGGGGAAACCTTGAGCAATTGCCTGAACAAAGCGGTGGGACTGTGTTGAAAATAGGAATGGGTAAATTCACTTTAGTCATTGCACTTTAGGGTATTTTCAAAGATTAGTCCCTAAGTTTCTACTATAAATACCCTTACCCATTTAGCTTCAAAACCATCCCAAAACATTTCTTTCTTCCTATACTAGAGAGCTTTCTTGTGAGTAGTGAGTGTTTTGTAAACACCTGTAAATTTTCTCTCTTAGTAAAAGATCTGCAGCAGCCCGGAGACG